ACACACACACACACACACACACACACACACACACACACACACACACACACACACACACACACTGGCTGACCACTTGGCTGAGCGACATGTTACAGTGCGCGTGTAGAGTGTCCTTTCACTGACAGACCAGCAGCAGCACGGACCACTCGCTCAGGCTCAGAGGCAGAGGATGCGGGTTCAAAGACGGGGGATTATTCTGCGACTTTAATGTGTTACTGATGAAACATGAACGATGAAAGGGGGCGAAATGTTAGAGGGGCGGGTGGTGGAGGTGTTCTCACCTCACCTGCCTAATGCCCCATCCCCCCTCCCCGCCCCCCCGCAATGGAATGCCAGTTATTCCAGGAGCACGGCCTTACACACACACATGCGCGCGCGCGACTTTCTTGATTTAAAAAAGCTCAAAGGGCTGTGCTCATCAACCCACTGCTTCCTGGCTACATGCCAATGATTTAATGAGCGGTGACTGACACACAAGCGCGCGCGCGCACACACACTCACACACACACGACATGACGTCGGATCACAGCGGGATCGTTAATAACCTGCACGGTGTCATCAGAGTTATGAGAATTTCACCAGCGTGGATTTTTGCTCAGGTGAGCTTTTATATGCCGCCCCCCCACCCCATCTACTGTGAATATATGACGTCACGTATCGGCGTCAGCGTGTCGGGGCAAGAACAAGGCTCCGGGCCACCGTCTATTGTTGTCTGTAACATCACACAAACACTTCACACTTTTATTGATGTGCAAAACCAGTGATTTCTTCTATTAAATTATAATTAATTTGTACCTAAATGTTTGTCCGTGTAACCCAAATTATAGGTTTTATTTGTGCGAATTTTTAAATTATTTTGGCATTCCCCCCACCCTTTCCCTCACTCGGTATCACGGGTGAGGCCTCGCGCCCATCCCTGGTCTCAGGGCGCCATTTGCATGCGGAGTATGTTTGAATGCTTCAACTCCCCCCCTGCAGACAAAACCCTCTGTTTCCAGGAATGTCCTGCTACTAATTAAAGACAATTAGGCGCTCCCAACAATGCCGGGGCCAATTTCGGGGTCATAAATCTGCTCCTCCTCTGTTGGTTTCAGAGGTGCTGAAATGGTTGTTTATTTACACAAAGGCAGTAGGTGAAAGAGAGAAAAAAACAGGTAATGTAGTCAATAACACTGAGACATTTCACAAGTTGGTGCAAGTTTTACGCACCACTCCAGTCATTTTACGCACGGCTCGTCTTTTTACGCACTGCTCTAATCGCTTTACGCACCACTCCAGAGTCATAAACGATCTAATAATGTGCCTTGGAAATACTCTCCAGATGGGTTCACACAAGTTACGGGAAATGAAATAAGTTTTTTTCAGTTCACAAGTTATAAATTTCCTCTCTGAGATAGACGTCTGTCTTTGAGCTCATAACTGTCACTTTGAGGAGGAGCGAAAAAAAAGATCGATTATCTGATTGTTCAGTCGGTTTAAACTTCACGAGGGACAGATTTGCTTGAAATGACCCCGCTGATTGATAAGTCCTTTAGCTTTTTTTTCGGTGCAGGAAAATGGAAATTGAAAAGAGTGGAGAGCAAGGATGAGGCGAGCCAATTGTGGCAGCGCGCCCCGTGATTGGCGCAGCGCACGGCCCCGCCCCCCGCGCGGCTTGATATGGGATTTTACTGGCGCCAGTCGCGTCAGTCTGCGCCACATCTCATTAATGAGCTCTAACACAGCGCGGACTGAGAGAGGCTTTAAACGCGTCTAAGGTGCATTTTTTTTTTGCCATCAGCTGATCCAAACTGCAACAGGTAGATAAAAGAGGGGAGAAAATTGTCGCCTTTTATTTGCTTGTATTTTTAATCTGCAGTTCTGGGATGCGTTTACGTCACAGAGACCCTGACTCTTTGCAAAGTTAATATGACGTGTTATTTGTTTTGATTATTAAAAAAATCGTAAAGGGAAAAAATAGGTGCATGAGGTGATAAATAAACTTTTTGCTTTTGTCTTGTCTCTTTGCAGGCATCACCGAGGAGGAGAAAATAAAAAAGGACAGCAGCGTGTTGTTTAAGGATTCTATTTCCAAAGTAAACAAACTCAGACTTTTACAGTCCAGGAACTATACTTTTTTTTCTTTTTTAAGTGGAGGATCGAGTCTGTGCTTGGACACAAACACAAAAAGCGACATTTCGATTTTAGAGGACCGCTCAGCCATGGAGGTCGCAGCGGCGGATCAGTCTCGGTGGATGGCGCACCATCACGCCGTGCTGAACGGCCAGCACCCGGACTCTCACCATCACAGCCTGAGCCACAACTACATGGAGCCTATGGCGCCTTTGCTGCCTCAGGACGAAGTGGACATGTTTCTGAACCACTTGGATTCTCAAGGGAACCCCTACTACACCAACTCCCGGGCGAGGGTCACATACAGCCAAGCGCACGGTAAGATGCGCTCCGTTCTTATAAAACTCAAAGGATGACATGAGACACAATAATCTAAAACTGTTTTTTTTATCTGGAAAAGTTAGCATTTTTCTGTGTGGCTTTGTTGCTTTCCAACTCATTTGTTAATTAAATGAAAAGAAAACAAAATGTGTCCTGGCTGTTTCTGGACCAATTCACCAACATAAAAGGGATTTCTAGCAAATGACAGCAAGAGGAAAGGGAAGTATGTCACTTAACCCCCTCTCTGGGGCAGGAGCTCTGAGGGAGAGAGAGGCACTTCCCGGATATAAAATAAAAACCGCAAATTTACTAATAACAATCTTTAGTCCGAGAGCTGCTGCGGGGGAAACACAGTGCCCAGACCTGGACACTTTAAAAAAAATATTTTTATCTAAACTTTATCGGATTTTATTCTCACTTTTTTGTTGCTGAGAGTTGTGAGGCTGCTGTCATTTCAGGCAAACCATTTTGCGGGATAATAAAAAATAGAATTTCCTTTTGTTAATCAGAATATTTGTATTTGGAAATAAATGTCGGATTTGATTCATTTCGAGAGTTTAACTGGTAAGATTTATTTAAAAGAAAAAATATTTTTGGATTTATTATGGGATTATAGGAGTATTTTCAATTGAGTCGTTTCAGTGAAATGAGCGGATTATTTTTTTCTGATTTCAGCTCGCCTTGGGAATCAGGTTTGCCGGCCACACCTCATCCACAGCCCCGGGATTCCTTGGCTGGACCCCGGGAAAGCTGCCCTGTCCGCTGCGCACCACCACAACGCCTGGGCGGTCAGCCACTTCAGCAAACCCGGCCTGCACCCAGCCGGCTCCGGCTACCCCTGCAGCAGCAGCGCCGGCACGGCTCCCGTGTCCTCCCTCACCCCGGCGTCCCACTCCAGCCCGCACCTCTACAGCTTCCCGCCCACCCCTCCGAAGGACGTGTCCCCGGACCCGGGCCCCACGTCTCCGACGTCCACCTCGAACCGCATGGACGAGAAGGACTCGCTCAAGTACCAGGTGCCGCTGACGGACGGGATGAAGATGGAGAGCTGCAGCCCGCTCCGAGGCGGCCTGGCCTCGATGAACAGCCAGGCTCCGGCCACGCACCACCCCATCCCCACGTACCCGGCCTACTCCCTGCCCACACCCCACGAGTACAGCGGCAGCCTCTTCCACCCGGGCAGCCTGCTGGGCGGCTCGGCCTCCAGCTTCACGCCCAAGTGCAAAAGCAAAGCCAGGTCGAGCTCAGGTGAGTGTCTGAGCATCAGAGATCAGATTCCAACAGATATGAGGATTATATTATTTTTATATCGCTGAATCTCCTAAATGTAGTTTGGATAATGTGCGGATATATATATATA